CTGGCACCCCCAAGATGCTCCAGCATCTGGCACCCATGTCTGGGATGGGTGAGGGCCTCCTATCTCAAGTAGGGTCCAGGCCTCTTCTCTCCCTGGCAGCAGAGGCTTTGCATGGTGAGCTGTGCAGGGTCCTGGCTCTGGGCTAGCTTAGCAGCCAGCTCCATGCCAACCAAGCCCAGTGCCCAGGGTAATCAGGCCTGGAGCCAACTCTTTCCCTGCTAGCTCTGCAGAGCTCGGGGGGCGGGGGAGCAAGGAGCCAGCCTGGTACAGCTCTGGGCCCATTCCCAGCCCTGTCTGCTGGGAGATCTTGCCTGCCCCTGGCTCTGGAGCTTGTCTCAACCCAGGCTCCAAGGATGCCGGGGTGCTGGGAGATGCCTCCAGGTTGCAGCACCTTTGCTTTCATGCTTGCAGTTTGCCCCGTGGCCTCCGATCCACCCTGGGCATATCCAAGCATCATGGCTTCGTCCCATCCCGGCTTCCACCTATGCTCTGAGCTGGCCACGTTGCAGGAAGAAGGATGCAGATCAAGGTCATGCTGGGCCTGTGTGGACACCATCAGGGTTTGACCCCAGAGACCTGCCTATGGGGCTAATGGCAAAGACAGGCCCGGGCGGGTAAGAGCTTGTGTTCCCTGTTGTACAGGAGGTGGGTGTGGGGCTTGCTGCGGGGACTTCCCTGCTGCAGGGATGTGACTTCCCCAGGCTGCTGGAGCCTTTGGCAGGGCATCTAGCCTGTATCCCCTGCTCCAACACCCCCAGCCTGGTCCACCCAGCTCAGGGGGATGCTCTGACACGTGACCGGGACCGTGGGGCCTGCGATGCTCAGTGGAAGAATACAGCCCAGGCCAGACCAGCATCTGGTTACACAACTCAGCGGCACCGCCCTCCCGCCGTTATGAAACGCAAAGCAGCTGCCTCCAATTTCAGTTAAAAAAAAAGGAAAAAACCCCCAAAACAGCAGCTCGGGCACTGTGCGTCATGGAGCTGCGGACGCTTCCCATTGCTTCATGCTCGCTGGGATTAACCCTCGGAGCAAATGCGTGTCTGGGATCGGGACATTGCAGGGCAGGGCAGGTATTTCCCATGCAGCTGTGATTGAGTTGTCCTAGGGTTTCCTCTCCTGTGTGACCAGGGTAGGTGACGTGTGAATAGATGCCTTGGCTTGATGAGGCCCTTATCACTGTTTCATGGATCCTGGGCCCTTTCTCCCTGGAGCACCTCGGGGCAAAGGGCAGGGGAGGTGGGGGGGCAGGGGTATGGATGTGTACTGGAGCTGCCTGGGCACATGGCGGGTTTATCCCATTTGGGGTGCTTTAGACACAGAGGGGTAAGGGAGATCTCGGATGATGGCCATTGGCTCACCTGAGCAGCCATCTTACACCGCCTTGTCCCGCCATGCCCATGCATGTGTTCATCCACCCCATGCTCATCCACCCCCCATCTCACACTCCCACCTCTCTCCCACCAGGGATTGCAAAGACTCATTAAGCTCTGACTTCCCCAGTTCATCCCTAATTTTGTTTCCTGCTCTTGTCCCGGCTGTTCCTCTCCCTCCCCTGCCGATACACCCCATGGCCCGGTGCCAGCTGGTGCCCCTCGCACCCAGCGGGGCGGTGGCTGCATCCGCCCATTCTTCTCTGCCCAAAATTGGGCCCGAGGGGAGGGCAGGACATGGGGCCCAGGGCTCCCCAGCCCATTGTAGCCAATGCCTGCCAGGACGTTTGGGCGCTCCTCCGCTCATTGGCCTTGTTTTAATTTCCAGAGCTGGAGGGGGTGTCCCCAGTCATGTACGCTGGCTATAAATACTGAGGGTTTTTGCTCAGCCGCTTGTCTGGCCAGCATCTGTCAGCCTGTTTCCTGCCTGACTGCCTTGGTAAGTGGTTTGTTTTATTGAGATGCTTGGGGCTTCAGCTGCTCCAGCTACTTGTGGTTTGTGCATGGGGGGCTGGGGACATGGCCAGCCCTGCAGTTTGGGAGAAGGGGGCGCTGCCTTTGCTGCAGCCGATGCAGATGGTCCTGAGCTGGGGTGGTGGAGGCAGCCATGGGTTCCCCACTTGGCCTGGGTCTTGGAGCTGCCCTCTGCATCCAGGCAGTTTTGGGGTTAGCGGCAGGTCTGGGGCTCTGCTCTGATGCAGCCAGGGCTGCAAAGGGCCTCCCCGGACCCACGCGAAGGGTGATGCCTCCTCTGGAGTCTGGGCTCGTGCAGCAGCCTGCCTGAGGGCTGCAGTACTTGTGCCCCCCCATTGTATTCCCGTTATGCCCCCAGACCCCAGGCTGTCATTGCCTGCCCCCCACAGCCATTCTCCTGCTAAGCCCTCAGCCCCCAGCCTGTCATTGCTCAGTCCCCCCAGCTGCGCTCCTGCTAAGCGTCCAGCCCCTGGGCTGTCATTGCAGTTGGCGCTGGCTGCCAACGCCCATCTGTGCTGCCAACATGACCTCGGGGGAGGCTTGGGAGTGGGTAGGAAACGGTGACGCATCCTCCTGCCTTGGTGCAATTAGCAGGTGGGGGCCCTCCCTCTGGGGGTGCAGGGCAGGGCTAGGCTATAGCCTTAGCACTGGTCCCCTGGGCCCGGGTGAAGGGGCTGTGACTGGAGGGCTTGGTGGGGATGCCGGGAGAGCTGGGCATGCCACAAAAGACAGGACCCAGGTACCTTGCCTGTGCTCCTCCTATGCAAAGGCACCCAAATGTATTCAAATCTGCTTCTGTCCCTGCACCCTTAACCCCTGGGCCAGCTGGTCCCGGCTCGGTAGGGAGCTCTCTGCTTTGGGCCATGCTCTAAGCGGCGCCCTCCCCACGTCTCTAGCTCCCAGACCCGCCATGGCGCATCCCCTGGAGCAGGCGCTGCACGTGATTGTCTCCACCTTCCACAAGTACTCGGGGAAGGAAGGCGACAAGTTGAAGCTCAACAAGGCCGAGCTCAAGGACCTGATGCTGAAGGAGCTCCCCAGCTTCATTAGTGTGAGTGGGGGGACTGGGACCCCCAGGTGCTCGGGGTGGTGCTGGGACCCTGGCACAGGAGCCCTGTCTGCCCCTGTGAAGGGGTCCAGTGGCCTCTTGCAGAGGGGGCTCGGTCCCTGCTCAGACCCTTCTCAGATAAATCTATTCTGCCCCTTTGGAGAGGGGAGGGGGCAGGAGGTGCCCACGCCCTGTCCTAAACAGTTCTGCCCAGGGCGGGCACGCATGGACGATGGGGTGGAGGGAGGTGGGTGATGCTCCGACCTGCAGGAGGGGTGCAGCGCATTTCTGGGCCAGGCTGAACCCCGCTCCCACCTCCTTCCCCCTGGCAGAAGAAGACTGATGACGCCAGCTTCCAGAAGATGCTGAGCAACCTGGATAGCAACCGTGACAACGAGGTGGACTTCCAGGAGTATGCCACCTTCCTGGCCTGCGCCGCCATGATGTGCAACGACATCTTTGAGGGTTGCCCCGACAAGATGCCGCGGAGGAAGTGATGGTCCTGGGCCTGGGCTGTCCTGCGTGGGCCCCTCCTGGGACCCCCACTGCATTGCCCACAAGTGCCTTGAGAGCCCGTCGAGAGCCCGTGCAATAAAGTCACTTCCAGAGAGTCCCGCGTGTCTTCGGCTGTGTGACCGGTTTCCGGACTGTGTTGCACATGGAGTTGTAGGGGTGGGTAAAATACCCCCACAAGGTCCCTGTGGGGTCTTCAAGGTTTCTGCCAGCTTTGCTCAAAGGAGCAGGGGTCCGATCCAGGCACAGGGAAAAGTGCAGCAGACCAGGGTTGGGGGCTTTGCTTCTTCCAACTCCGGGATAGCAGCCCACAACTGCTGGCAGCAAGAGGAGCTCCTCCTAGGCTGTACCCCCCTCCAGGGGGCTCCATCTTGGCAGGTGACCCCATAAGACCCAGGTCCTTTCCTACCTGGGTGAGTTTATTGCAGAGCTAGAGCCTGCTGCAGCCCCTTCCCCCCCAGCTCAGTGACCATGGGGTCCCAAGGGCAGAGTGAGGGGCTGGGCCACAGCCCTCCAGGGCAGCTGGCTGCATGGCCCCAGGGTCACCCACAGGGAGGTGGCAGTGCCTGTGGTTCAACTCTACTGGATGGAGCCATGGTTGCTGCATGGCGGGGCTTGGACAGTCCCAGCAGACCCTTGGCTCTTGCTGGGCACCTGTCCTGGGCCCTTGCTGTCCACCCCCTGCCTTGGGCTCTGAATCTCCCCAGCTGGGCACTGCTAAGCAACAGGGCCTTGCCCCTGTGGAGCATCCTGCTTGCTGAAATCCCTAGTGCCAGGAGCTGGCACTGCCATGGAGACAGCAATGTCCTTGGGAACATCCTCTATACCATGCTCCAGCTGTCCCCTTCCCTCCCATCCCCTCTGCATGGGGCTGGATTCTGCTCTGGATTTCCTCTGGGGGAGCTGTGAGCTGAGGGGTAACCCCAGGCCACCCCGGGCAGTGGGCACAGGGGCCATCTGGCTCCAAGGCCGTGCCCTGGCTGCACCCCACAAGCATGGGCAGGCAGTGACCCCAGGGACCTGGGATCCTGGCAACTGCATCCACTTTCCATTGGCGCCTGAGCCAGAAGAGTATAAGAGGAGGTGCCTGCCCTGGACTCTCTGCACCCGTGATCTCCTCCTTGGTAGGTCGGGGGGTTTGATGCCATCAGCTGGGCTGGCGAGATGGCGGGGATAGGCTGGCTTGGGGACTTCTCTGTCCTGCCCTCTCCAGATGTGCAGCAGCTGCTGGCTCTAATGCTTCTGCGTGGGGCTGCTGGTCTGGCAGGATGGTAACTGCATGACCCAGGGGGTCCTGGGCAGATGGGGCAGCTGTGCCTTTCCTACCCCACCTATTCAGGGTCCCCAATGCCCAGTGGCTTGTGGTGCCCGGGCCTTGGGCATGGGGTTAATTCCACCTCCCCCTGCACCCTGGAGGCTCCTTTCCTGTGTCCCCAGCCTTGCAGGGCAGGCCCCCGGGTGGGGGAGAGCTGTGGTTCTTTTGTCCCACTGAGCTGGGGCAAGGGCTGTTCAGGGGAGGAGCCCAGGTGCAGAAAGGCACCTAATTCCTCCCAAGCCTCTTTGAAAAGCCTCATCAATAGGACCCACCTGGTCCGGGTGTGAGTGAGTAGGCGCCCCAGGGCAGTGGAGCCACACCCTGCCGGCAACGGTTGGGCATCTGCTGTTTGCTCACTGGGTTGCTAATGGTGAAGGACCCACGCGGAGGCTTTCAGGGGCATGGCTTTGATGCACTGGGCCAGGAGAGCCCATTGCTGTAAGCACCCACCCGTGCTAAGGGCTGCGGTACAAGGGGCTGCACACACAATGGCCATGCTGGAGGGGGTGGGGGGCCTGGCCCTGCGAAACCTCTACTGCTGTCCAGAGATTGGATAGAAGGCGGGGAGCTGAGCTCAATCCCCTGCCCTGCCCTGCCACTGCCCCCTCAATGACCTTGGTCATGTCCCCCAGTCTCTCTAGGCTTTATTCCCCACAGCCCGCATCCTGCTGCTTTCCCTGAGCTGAGCAGCCCCAAGGGCCTTCACCCCGGTGTTGTGCTTCCGCTCCCCACGTCCCCTTCTCCCTTGCAGGTGGCATGGAGACCCCCCTGGAGAAAGCCCTGGCCACCCTGGTCCTCACCTTCCACAAGTACTCGGGGAAAGAGGGCAACAAGTTCACCTTGAGCCGGGGGGAGCTGAAGGCACTGGTGAAGAACGAGCTGGGGCTGGGCCAGGTGAGAGCTGGGTGAGGGGCTGCAGCGGGTGTGCCCCTCTCTGTCCTGGATCGGGGCCTTCCCACCCTGCAGGGTGAAGTCCTCCCTGCTATACCCACCGTACCCCCCTGGGTTTCCCTGCCCCTGGCATGAGCCTAGGGGCTGCATGTGACTGGTTGGGCCCCGCTCTGCAGAAAATGAAGGAGCGCAACATCAACGAGCTGATGAAGACTCTGGACAAGAACAGCGACGATGAGATCGACTTCAAGGAGTACTCGGCCTTCTTGTCCGCCCTGTGCATGGCCTACAACGACTTCTTCCAGCAGGACGGCAAGTAGCGGAGCCCCCTGGGCCCGGCGCCTTTGGCCCGGGCTGCAGCGCAGCTGCCTTCAATAAAGAGCTTTCCGCTTGTCGCTCGCCTGAGGTTGTTTTTTCCACTCTGGTCCCTTTCCAGCCTGGTTCTGGCTCCGAGCCATGGGGAGGGACACGGAGAAAACCCCCATGCAGGGGAGGGGCAGATAGGGCAAGTGGTGATGCCCCTGCCCTGTGATGCTCAGGCTACATGAGATGATGCATTGGGGGGGGGGCCCTGCAAAGACTCCCGGGGCCCTGCTGCTACAGGTGGGTCAGGGGCTCTGTGGCAGCACTAGCTCGTGGCCTGGGGAGGTCTCTCCCACACGTATCACCATGGGGACCCACTTCCGCCTTGCCCCAGAGCCCAGTTGGCACGGGGCCGGTCTGTGCTGGGGGGCTGAGTGCGGTGGGGCAGGGTCCATAGCACTGGGTAGAGTCCGGGGCAGTAGGGGCAGGGCTTGTGCAGAGGGGCAGGGCTTCCCCAGCATCCGGTGAGGCGGGTGGGGGGGGGCATCTAGCCCCATCTATAAAGGCTGCCTGCTGCCTGGAGTTTCATCCCACGCTCTCCTCTCCTCTCCTCGCTTCTCTCTCTCCAGTGCCTTTGGTAAGTTAGTGCTTTCCCTTTCCTCCAGACTACTGCCATTGCCCCGCCAGCTGTGCCTGCACCCTCTTCCAGCTGTGCCCATGCCCCACTCCCCCACAACACCCCGGCAGGGCAGGCCGTTCTGGAGCTGTCTCCAGGGACCATATCTGGACAGAGAGGCCAGGACTCCCTTTCTCTACCTCTGTCCCCCCCTGCTCTCTCCAGCTGGGTTTGCAGGGTCCCCTAGCAGCCCCCAATGCCTGTGGGAGCTTTGTACCTGGGTTTCCCAGGCACAGACAGTGCTTCTCGGGGCAGCAGGGTTCCAAAAACCTTGGTGGGGGGGTGCCTGGGCGGTGTGGGGGGAGTGCTATGCCCCATTGTGGGGTGTGGCTCCTTGCACAACAGCCGAGCTGGGGGCTGTCCTGGTAGGTCTCGGCTGACACCCCGTGGCAGTGGGCGAGAAGGCACTGGCTCCGGCTGTCTCTCAACCTGGAGCTCCAGGGTTCAGGGTTTGGCCTCTGTGCTGCCCTGTGCTTCATGCGTGGGCCCCACTAAGCCTGAGAGCAACTGCGGGGGGAGCAGTGGGTCTGCCTGTCCCGCTCCCCAGTGCCTCCACCCTGCCTCGCTCCCTTCCCTGGCGTCCGCAAAGGCCTGCGGCCAGTCAGGGTGCCCCGGTTTGGGATCCATGTGGCACTCCCTGGATCTCTGTTCAGAGCCAGGCCCTACCCCTTCTTTCCTGTCCTTTCCCCATGCCCATCCCCAGGGTGTCTTGGAGCCCTGCCCCCCTGCTTTTCTTGGGAGCATCAAGGTTGCACAGCAGCCCCCGGGTGTCCCTCGACCAGCCATGCCAGAGAGCCGTGGGCACCCGTGCACTCTCCCTGTCCTTGCTCCATCCCATCTCCAGCCCCCGTGGCCCCTGCTGTGGCTCACAGGCATCTCTGCCCCAACCCAGATCCACCCCGCAGCCATGTCGTGCACCCTGGACCAGGCCATCGGGGCCTTGATATGTGTCTTCCACAAGTACTCAGGGAAGGAAGGCGATAAGAACACATTGAACAAGAAGGAGCTGAAGGAACTCATCCAGAAGGAGCTCGCCCTCGGCCCGGTGAGTGGGACTGGGGGCAGCAGAGTGTGGTAGTGTCCCGGGGGCCAAAGCCTGGCACCTGCAGAGGCCCAGTCACTTGGGCCCAGAGCAGCCCCCGCTGGTGCTAAGCGCAGATGGACCCGGCCTGGAGGAGGGCAGAGACGGGAGGGAGGCGAGGGAACCTGCCCAAGGTCACCTAGGAAGTCAGTAGCAGAGCTGGGAAGGAACCCTGCTTTCCCAAGGCTCCAGCCAACAGCTTGGCATCACACCCTTGGGGGGTGGGGGTGGATGGGGGGCAGTAGCATTTGGGGATTTGGCACTGTCCCAACCGCCCTGGCTCATGGCCCAGCTGGAGAATCTACCCAGCAGAGGCTCCCCCTGGGGTTATCAGTGTCTGGATCAGGAGGTTGTGTGTGCAGCCATGTGCATGCATGTATGTGCATGCCTGTCTGAAGGTGTGCATGCGTGTGCGAGGCCAGAACGGCGGGCCCACTCCCCATTTGGCGGCGGGCTGCCACACCTATTCATGACTTAGAGGACAGCAATGCAAAGAATCTGCGTGGTGACTAACGGCCTGGCTTAGCAACCCCAGGACGTGCACAGTCCTGCTCCAGTGCAGGACGGAGTGAGTGCCACCAGAGGGCTCAGGCAGGCAAGGTTCTTCGGGTAGATGTGATATTTTTTATTAGATTAACTAGATAGTTGGAAAAAAGTTCTTTGCAAGCTTTTTGGGCAAGAGAGCTCACACACCCTTTAAAGGGAGAGTCCCCTCATTCCTATACTCCACAGGGGTGTGGTGGGGAGCCTGAGTTGCATGTTTTGGGTTTCTTTTGAAGCCCAGCTTCTCAGCTGCTCCCGCGCAGAGAACAGCAATGAGGGCCCTATCCTTTTAAAGGGAGTGTGAGTCCTTTAGTGGCGCTCACCAGGTTCTGCATTTTGGAGGGTGAGGCCAGCTGATGCCTGTTGAGGGTCACACACAGAACACGTTAACACACCTAACGCATCCTCCTCGCTCCAGAAACTGAAGGAGGCTGAGATCGCCGGGCTCATGGCCGACCTGGATCGCAACAAGGACCAGGAGGTGAACTTCCAGGAGTACGTCACCTTCTTGGCAGCTCTGGCCATGGTCTACCATGAGGAGCTTGTCAAGCACCAGTAGTAGCCACAGCTGGGGACGGGGCAACCTGGAGGGGCCTGCCCTGGGCACCAATCTGGAAAATAAATGCTTTTTTGTAATGTCTTGCCCTGGGCTCCATCTCCCTTCTGTCGCCTTCCAAGAGCAAGCGCCTGCCGGGAATCTGCTGGGCGCGGCACGGCTGAAGCAGACAGGATGGGGCATGGAGGGAGGCTGTGCTGCATGCTGGGACATGGGGATGACTCGTGGGGGCTGTGGCAGGGTCAGCGCACATGGAGCAGGGTCAATGCACGGGGGCCCAGGGTCAATGCACACAGAGCCCCAGGCTGCGGCACTGCTGGAGGCAGCTTGGGCTCAGGTCCCTACAGCCTGATGCCCCCAGGGTCTGGACAGATACATGTCATCCCGGGGCTGAGGAGCTCAGCTCACCTCGGCGGAGATGGGACTGGGACTAGCTTCCCGGATCAAGAGCAACAAGAAGTCCTTTTTTAAATAAAATAGGGGGCAAAAAGAAGGTTCTGGGTAATGTGGGGCCCCTGCAGGACACGCTAGGAAATTTGGTCGTCACACCAGACGACAAAGCCAACATATTTAACGATTTCTTTGCCTCCATTTTCCTGATCAAGGACCAGAACAGCCACCCCCCCCAGGGCTCCCCTCAGGCCCCAGGGGAGATGCACCTGGGCCAAGGGTTAGTGAGGAACTAGTTAGGGAATTTCTGGAGGGACTGGATGTATTCAAGTCGGCTGGTCCGGACGATCTCCACCCCAGAGTGCTGAGGGAATTGGCTGAGGTCATTGCGGGACCCCTGGCACGGCTGTACAAGCACTCGTGGTGCTCTGGTGTGGCGCCAAAGGATTGGAAGAGGGCCAACATGGTCCCCATCTTCAAAAAGG